CCTAGTGGCGATGGCCTCCAACCTAGTAGCGATGGCCTCCACCCTAGCGGCGATGGCCTCCAACCTAGTAGCGATGGCCTCCACCCTAGGAGCGATGGTCTCTGACGGAGTAGCCATGGCCTCCAACCTAGTAGCGATGGCCTCCACCCTAGGAGGAGCGATGGTCTCCAACCTAATAGCGATGGCCTCCAACCTAAGAGCGATGGCCTCCAACCTATTAGCGATTGCCTCCAACCTAGCGATGGCCTCCAACCTAATAGGGATGGCCTCCAAACTAATAGCGATGGCCTCCAACCTAGTAGTGATGGCTCCATGGCCTTCAACCTAATGGCGATGGCCTCCAACCTAATAGTGATGGCCTCCAACCTAATAGCGATGGCCTCCAACCTATTAGCGATGGCCTCCAACCTAATAGCGATTGCCTCCAACCTAGTAGCCATGGCATCCAACCTAGTAGCGATGGCCTCCAACCTAGTAGTGATGGCCTGAAACCTAGTAGCGATGGCCTCCATGGCCTCCAACCTAATGGCGATGGCCTCCAACCTAATTGTGATGGCCTCCAAACGAATAGCGATGGCCTCCAATCTATTTGGACTTGCCAACCGTCTGGACTCATTCTGTTTTGATCTTGAGGGCAACGGAGAACCACGAGCGGTTGATGGAAAAGAACTTGCGGCCTCCTTTGCTCTTGCCGTCAACGCTTTTGTGCAGCACTACTGGACTTGCCTCAAAGACTATGAGGTAACCCTTGACCATCAAGTTGAGGGCTCTGGTCACGTGGCTTTGGAGGAAAGGCAGCAGACCTTTGAGGGCTTAAGACATTTGAGAGGTTTTGTAGTGTTTCTGACCCGCTCAAAACCCTGCTTAGTCTATTCTTTGTATGGCTGCAGAGAACCTCTTGGTCACAAGCAACGTTTACTTTTCGTCGTGCAATCATGCAGTGGGACCTGCAGCGTGTACAAATGTTCAACAGAGTACAGTATCATATATCACTACACTACTTGCGCCAGTGGGAATGCAACGGCCGCAGGAAATGATGCCCAGATGGCACGATGACCTTGTAGATCACTTTCGAGTTGGTTTAGATCCTGAGGCGTGCACTGTCCTTGTACACGTTCCTTTTTTGACCATTATACCATTTGTCATTTCAAATTGCGCAGAGTGCTTGCTTGTTTCATCCTGATCTGGAGAGGCAACGATCAAAATGTACACAAGTGGCACCATGGTTGCCATCCGACGTGTGTTCAGACATTTCTCTTTGGAGGCAGATGGCACGGTACACCCACCAGACGGGATGTTGCCCGAAGGTTTTCATCTTGGACAAGTGGGAAGACCTACATCCATTGAATCGACAGATGAAACCCGAAAGCAAACGCTCTTTCGTCCATTTCAATTTCCCGAGGGTATTCCCGGGCTTGATTATCATGCCTTCATAAACAGCAACTTCTCAGATTGGACCGGAAGAAGGCCGGTTCACTTCTTTGAAAGGAAGCCTTTCCACAGAGCTCTGAACTGCGCAATATGTCAGGATTCACCCAATGTCTTACGGGCTGTCATGAAGATCATCATGGACATCAATTACTTTATTAATTCCGTTCATCATGAAGGGGGAGTTTTCTACAGTGGAGTTGGAATTGGTGAATCTTTGCGCTTGGTGGAACCTGGTGCAAAGCTGCGCATGCCCCGCTTCCTATCAACGACTACGGAACTGAAGTTTGCAAAGTCTCGACTTACTGACAAAGTTGGACCTGCACTCTTGGTGATTCGGATTCCACATGGCTTCTGGGGTGCTCGTGACATCTCCGCGTTTTCTTCTTGTCCGGAAGAGAATGAAACTATGTTCTGCGCATATGCACTGTTTCATGTGGAACGTGTATCATCAATCAAGATGCAAGGCCAAGAGGTCACAAGAATAGACCTGAAGGCATTGGACAAATATGAGGGCATTGACTATACTGATGACGCATTTCCGCCATTTCACCATGCACCCATTGAAATTGATGAGCTTGAAGCTCATGAGAGCTATGTTCGTCAGTATTCCTAAGAGAATGATCATGTGAGTGTGAAAAGCGTGCAGGTTTTGAGAAGCTTTCTTTGAGTGGAGCTTTTGTTGCTGCTATGTTGCGCCATACATAACTTCTTCAAGCTCTTGGTTGCGGTTGTGTCTTGCATAGTCTCCCAGGCTTTCTGGTACGGCTGCTGCATTTGATTCACTGGCCTCTGGAGCGAAGTATTGGCTGCTGCGTCACTTGGCTTGAAATATCTGCAGGTTTGGTGACAGCGGCAAAATTATGTTGCCATCGTTTCCTCTTAGTTTGGTGCTTTTGATATTATGGAGTTACATAGTACGCTTAGCACACTTGGCTGTTTTGCAGTGCAGCATATATAATATATAGACGCCACGTGCATTTGGGAAGCGAAAAAGCAAGAACCTTGCTGACTTTCAGACTTGCTACCTGAGGTCTGCGTTTCCTGCGTGTTGTGCATAATTGCTTCAGACTCTTGCGCATATTTTGGAGGTGTGTCAGAATCAGAATCCTTCGTGGTTTTGCAGCTCAGAGTGTCTACTGGGGGAGAAGTCGTGACGATTTCTGCAGGGAAGGCCTGGGGCAAGCGGCCTCTTATCTTGGTCAGCCCGCGGAAGACATTCGAGGCATCTTGGCCTGTGAAGATCACTCTTTTCTCGTAGAAACAGCTACCAGCAGTCTGGGATAAAAGCTGCTTAATTTGACGTGATGCCTTTTCGTGAGGGCGCATATTGCGGTCTCTTGGGCTCCGTGGTGATGGCACTGCTTTGTGATCAGGCGCAGCACTGTAGGGAAGTAAGTTTGTGCAGCTTTTCCAGCTTGGCCTTGGTGCAGATGTGGGGCTTTCCATCTGACCCACCTATGGCGATGTGAGGATCCTGGTTAGAGCCTTCTGAAACTGAGCATCAAAGACACCCACATGGTATTGTTTCTTGGGTTGGTGCAGTTCCGGGTTGAATGAGGTTGACCGGTGCCTTGATATTTTCTGCTAGCCTGCTTGGAGACTTGGTGGTTTCAGCCACTTGACCAGAGAAAGGATGTGTATATAGACCGCTTGGGAAATTTGTTTCGCATGATCCCAAGCCTACATGAATCTTTATAAATTCCAATCTCAGTGGCTTTGCACAAATATTACACCACCTACGTGCTTGTTTAAATGTACCATTTACAGCATTTACAGCAATTGCTTGGCATGCAATTTTCTGTGGGGGAGCATGGTTCCCAATGGGCCAAGGCCATGAAGCGGGACGCCAGAGTCAAGGCTTTACCTGTGGATGTCGCTTTACGGAACGTCCTTTTGTTCCTACAGCCCCTAGTAGCGTTCTTGCTCCTAGTAGCGATGCCCTTTGTTACTAGTAGCTTCTTGTTCCTACTAGTAAGGCCAGGAGCCCCTAGTAGCGTCTTTGCTCCTGGTAGCGATGCCCGTGAGCCTTTTCACTGCAGGACACTGGTTCAATCATTCCAGGGCATGGAGGAATTCTTGATCGATTTGACTCCTACTTCTTTGCAGCACCAGTGGCATACTTCTGCTGGCAAGCCCCTTTGTTTCTCATCGACCTATGAAGACTCATGTCTTGTGTTTGCTTACTTACTCTAGGCTATTGGGCAAAGTTTGCAATTACCGTACAAATATATATATATATATATGAACTGATTGGATGCTTCAATTGCAAACAGAGCTTGTTTTGGCTCAGAACTTCACATTTGGCCACATAGTCCATGATCATGTGTTGAGATTGACATGGAATGGCTGCAGATAGAACCAATAGTATCAGAATCAATGACATCATTGGACCATTGGACAGACCAATGTGAGACGACCAACATATTGGGTTGCAGTTATTCTGCAACCAGTTGGCACAAATGAATTGTGGAAGGATACCAGATTTGTTTTAGCTCATCATGCAATGACTCGCGCTGAGACCCTCGTTATATAGGTTTCCGAACGGAAAAGTTGGGTCTCTCTCTCTCTCTCTCTTTAATGCATCCCATGTTGGTGTATTACCTTGCAATCGAGCCCAGACAATGAGCTCCATGGCGGAGCTCTCCCTCGAGGCGGAAGCCTACCTATGGTGGCCTCTTATACTGTACATGTTTTACCTCATGTCAGTGGTTTGCGATGACTACTTGTTGCCAGCTGTCGATGCCATCAGTGCTCGCTTTCATATTCCCGATGATGTTGCAGGACAGAGCCCAGCTTCGGAATGGTGAGGTTTCAGTTCAGTAGCCTGGTTTAGTTTTTAAAAGCGATCAAGGGATCGTTCTTTTAATTTGACTCAACATGACAACAGTGGGTGCTTGAAAGCCTTGTTTATCGAGGTAACCCTAAAGATTCTTGATCACCACAAGAAATGTAGCCTTGCGACAAGTGGATATACTATCAGTTGTATGAAGCAATATAATGACGACCAATGAACCAGAATAATCGAAGTCGTTTCAACTAATGCTGCAAGAGTAGCTTGCTGAAGACAAACATGCTTTTTGGATTTTCTGGATAAAGACATCATACCAAGCATCCAAGCTGGGGGTTCTGGCTGTTTCTTGTTGCGATCGCTCTGACACCTGCCAACGCCAGACTACTGGGACGGTGTGGCATGTGGCTGCACTGGCAAAGCTTCAGAATCCAATTGCGCTTATTTTGGTGTAGTTCTTAGTAGCTCTGGCTTGTAGGAAGATATGTAGTACAGTATATAGATACAATTGCACTGCAATGAAGGCGGAGCCGGGCGATCAAATCTGTAAGCAATGATCCTGCTAAAGCCGCAAAAAGATCTGAAGCCTTTTCAATTCGACCATCTCTTTTGAAAACTCGTACTGCAGGAGCAACACTCGTGGCCTTTGCCTGTAACGGTCCAGAACTGTTGACGAACAGCTGCTCCATCTACCTGAACGATGAATCAGTAGGAGATTCAGATTTTTCAGTAGCAGAATTTCCGAGATTGGCTGTCTTTGAAACTGTCGCCTCGCAGGAATTGGGACCATCGTTGGCTCCGCAATCTTCAACGTACTGGTGATGAACTCAGTGGCTGTGTTTGCTTCAGTCACGAAGCTGCACGTGCGTGCGGTCATTTCTGTTTTTTATTTTTTGGTGAGAGAAATAAGGTCATTACAGGGTGCTGTCCACTCGTTGCACCAGACCGCTTTTTGAAGATAAACCCCGCATTCTTTCTGCGAGATGCATTCTTTTCCGCGTTGTCTATCGTGCTCCTTAGTTTCATTGGCCTGCATGGGTGCTAGTTCTCACCAGGAGTTTTGCATGATCGGACAGTCAGATATTGGTTTGATGCACTCAGTCTACTTTGGTGGGCGCTCCCCATTGTGGACCTCTTCAAAGCCTCTACATTGCTGGCTTTCTCTGCCCTCTATGCATGGGTTGTTGCAAAAAGTGGCCAATGGTTTGGCGATCACCGCTATGTGTGCTCCTGAGACATGATGGATGAGAATGAATTGGGGAAGCTAGCTAAGCTATATAACAGATTGGAAGTTCCGAGAACTGATTTCTGAAGATCCTCCTTCATTGTCTTGGGCTGCCAAGGATGGCACTGAGCTCCTGGCGGAGGGGATCATTACTTCACCCTCAGCCATTTCTAGGCCACACACTACACACCAACACCCACACCAAGACTTTCAACAGGGTTCCAAAATCGTTCGACGACCGACGAGGGCAAGTTCGAAAGTGCATGTCGGCCAACCTCCTAAACAGCCTGAGCTCTAGATTGGGCTTTATTTGTAAACGCCAGAACCAAGCATCAGGATCAAAAAGACAATTATAGGACCGGATAACCACACATGTTAACAACTTCACCAGACACAGGAGCGGACACTTGGTGGTTGGCGGTGGTTGGTTGATGGTTGGTTTGCCATCACAGCGGCACAGAGGCGGCGACGCAGGAGCCCCAGGGCGTAGAGCACGAAATGCTGCTCCTGTGTCGCCGCCGCTGTGCCGATGTGATTTCCTTGACAGGCGCAGCATTTAGTGCTCTCCAAGGGGTCGGATGTACGCCCTGGGCTCCTGTGTCGCTGCCTCTGTGCCGGTGTGATTTCCGTGGCAGGCGCAGCATTTGGTGCTCTCCAAGGAGTCGGATGCCCTGGGCTCCTGTGTCGCCGCCTCGCCCCAGGGCGTGCACCCTCCTCTGGAGAGCGCTTCCCACCGGCCCAGAGGCAGCGACACAGGAGCCCCACACCGTACACCCGATCCCTTGGAGAGCACCAAATGCTGCGCCTGCCACGGACATCACACATGCACAGCAGCGGCGACACAGGAGCCTGCCACGGAAATCACACCGACACACAGCGGCGGTGACACTTGGTTGGTGGCAGTTTGTGGGTGAACGCTTGTTGTGGTGCCATTTGGTTGGTGACACTTCGTTGCTGGCAATTGGTTGGTGGCAGTTGGTTGGTGGTAGTTGGTTGGTGGTAATTGGTTGGTGACAACTGGTTGGTGGCAATTTGTTGGTAGAAGTTTGTTGGTGGCAACTCGGTCTCCTGGTTGGCTGGTCTCTTGCTCTCCTACTCCGCTGGTCCCCTGCTCCTTCGGTCTCTTGGTCCAGTGGGCACCTAGACCTAGTCCCTTGGTCTCCTACTTATGGTCCTTCAGTCTTGGAAGCTCCCTAGTAGAAAGATAGCTTCCCAGTGGGGTGCTAGCTCGCTGGTAGGGTTTTTCCCAGTAGGGGGATAGCGCTGTCTATAGCGGGGGGAGGCGCTGCGCCCTCCCCTGCACCCCGTCCGGCTTTTTAATACCCTCCCCCGCACCCCCTCCGACTTTTTTAATAGTTCCCACTACCCCTACTATTGCCAGTGCCTCTATCACCCCGATCACCCCACTACGGGTCTTACCACAGGTGCCACAACTACTATCTTCTTTGCATTGACGCTGCCACAAAGAAGGATGATAAGGCCCACCTTCGATTAGCTGTGCCAGCGTCACAGGTGAATGAAAGTGCAGGCTCAGCTCTGACAACCCCACAAAGTTGGATGATAAGAAGACCTTCACCTTGAGCTGTGACACCCAATTAAACCAATCACGAAACGAAGCAGCCCAGCGCTGTCTATACTTGATTTGCATTGCGGGGGAGGTGCTACGCCCTCCCCTGCACGGCCCCTCCCGTCTTTTTTAATAGTTCCCACTGCCGCCCAATACCCGTACTTTTACCACTGCCGCTGCGCTGCGTTCCGCTGCTATGACGAGTATCGTTGAACGAAGTTTTCGGCTAAAGTGGCTAGGGGCCCCCGCTTGTGTTTCCCGCGGGGAAGCGAGTAAAAGAAAGGGAAACTCTGAGAGTTCTCATCGCGCTGGTTGAAAGACGCCATGTCGGCACAGCATCTACGGCGTGCGTAGGTCATCCCTAGCAGCTTCCTCAAGACCCCACTTGGATAAGTTGGAGGTGGCGAGAAATGTATTGCTCTGGGTATGACTTTCCACGCTTAGGATGCGCAGTGGATGTGCAACTGTGCAACTGTGGAGTGTGTGAGTCCGAATCCTCCACCGGTCCAGAAGAAGAAGAAACCAGAGATGGCAGATTGACCGAACCAGCAGAAATGGAAGGTCTGAAAAAGGTTGCGCAGAGCCTGTTTGAGCTGGAGGTGTGATTCATGTCTTTGTGGGTAAGGCTCAGTGACAAAGCACTTCCTCCAACAGTCAGAGTTACGACGTTCAGACATCCGAGTGGGTCGCCCCCTTAGTCGTTCAACCAGATGAAACTGACAGGATGATTTGAAGCATTGAAGCCCCACAAATGGGTTGCGCATATGCTTGGAGAGCAGAAGAGCATCTCAATATACGGCAGCTTCGAAGCGTGCTTGATATGATGGAACAGAAGGTGCGGCGCGAACCTTATTGCGGTTTATATGCGTTTAGGAGAGCCACACGTTTGTCTGGGAGTCTTGAACCACGGCCGATCTTCATCGAGGAATTGAACGGATCTGAAAGATCACTCCTTTGCTAGTGAGCCTCAACTTCTCTCCTTTGTACGCGTGGATTCCGCCTGCTCGGAAGCCAGCAAGCCAAGGAGCGAGCTTAGGCTTAGACAAGGTGATTGAAAAATGACTCAGGTGGTTCAGGAAGGCAAATTTGGTGGACGGATGAAAGATGCTGAGGTTGCAAGATAGAATTCGGGAACTGGTCACAGTGCGAGTTGGGTCTGACGACAGATGCGCGACAAAGCTTGAAGCCAAAGGGCAAGATGGGCAAATGTCGAATATTTGCAAGGCTTGAGAAACTGCAACAGTTGAGTTTGCAGGACAAAAATGCCTACATACGTGCCGGACCAATCCTCGAGGAAGGCAGCGTTTGGCAGACGAGTATGATTTGAAGAGCCGCCCCTTTTCGATGCAGATGGTTGCATCAGGCAACTAGTGAGAGAAGTGACACTGGATTGGCCTGGGACCTATTATGTGCTTGCAACTGGTCTACAGCCTTCTAAAAACCATATCCACCCCAGTTTTGTTTCCACTGCTCTTTTGCCCTTTGTTCTCCCTGTTTCTGCCCGAGTCTTGCAGTCTTCCGCTGTCAGCCAGGTAGGGACGCGTGGAACAGCGGATGTAGCTACAGTTTTGAAGACTGATTTTGGACAGGCGTTGACCGCCAAAGTACAGCAAGTACAGGGGCCAATGTTTTGGCTCAGGTTCAAGCAGCCTTGATGGCTTTCCTACCAGCTTTGAAAGCTTATCCCGAACAAAGAGTTTAGATTTCGGGTGTGGCCTTTCTTGTTTCAGATGGTACCTGGCCCTGGCAACCAGTCTTGCTTTGCTTCCAGGGAGACAGGTCGCAGCAATCGTGGTGCGTAGGCCATCGCATCGTGTTCCCTTTCTTTTTTCGAGCGTGAGCCAGTGAGATGCTCTTGGTCCAGGCAAGTCTCATCAGATCCCGCCCTCGAAGTTCCCTTCCTGGCTGAGAAGAGGGAGCTTGTGCCTTTTGCTGTCAGCCAACCCGGTGGTCTTCTCCTTTGGTTGACGATCCCGAACGTGAAGCTGCAGCCACGCCGTTACTTTTCAAGTTTCTTCATGTCGATGATGTGGCTGAGTGCCACAGCATATGTTGTTTGCATCGGTTCCGATAGGATCAACATCCTTTGGGGTATTCCTCGAAGCTTTCTTGGGTTGACCCTCGTCGCCATTGGAACCTCCTGGCCGAACCTTTTAGCCTCCATTGTCACCGCCAGGCCGGATATGTGTCACTACCGTCACTACCTCTTTTTGTTCGTTCTTTTAGCTTTGCAGCTTTTTGTCTCTATGTCACTTTTGCAACCTTCGAGGCAGGGGCGAGGAGAAATGGCTATCAGCAGTGCCTTGGGAAGCAATGTCCAGAACATCTTCTTTGTTTTGGCCTTTCCAATTTTCATCAGTGTTTTGGCCAGAGGTGACTACACCAGCAACAGTGCAGAAATATTGTCTTCGGTGTTATGGATTCCTGGAGAGAAGAACGTTGCAGTACTTTTGTGACTCCATAGGGGGATGCAAACATTGTGCAAACAAAAATGTATTTATTAACCAACATAACCATGCCATTTTGGCCCAGGACCAAACACAGCAAACCTATATACTTTGGAATGCTTTGGCCCTGATGTTTAGTGAAGCAAGTGAGTCCATCAACCCAGTTGCTTTGTCCCGCAGACAGTCAGGATGGGGGCTACGTTAGCGATCGTAGTGCTGCTCGCCAGCTGTTCAGGATTCAGCTTGCGAGCCTGGACTGGTTGTGCTTTTGTGGCCGTCTACGGCATGTACTTATTGCAGGCCTCAAGAGAGCTGCTTACATGAGAATGTGATAATATGTGTATGTGTAGCAATGCCATGAGCTGAAATGTTGAGCTCATCATCCCCGTCGACAAGGTGTCGCAATCGCGCTTGAGTGCTTGATTGTGAAAAAAGAGTGCTTGCAGGTTGCATTGAAGAGTAGATTGGCAGATGAAAGATAGGAGGACCTTTGTGTCTTTTGGTTTGTTACAGGCCACTGCGGCTTGCCTCGAACCAAGTGGGGAATTGAGTCTGTTTGCAACCAGGTATGCCTACCTGAAATACCACACGCGGCTGCCTGCGACGATGATTCGTTTCAAACCGTAGCAGCGTGTAGCTTTGCTGGCTCTTCGATCAGCTGATGTAGCCAGAAGGAGGCTTCTCATGTCAGCACGTGCAAAGAAGCTCTTTCTGTCAGCATGCGCAAAGAAGCTCTTGTGCCGCAGTGTTGAGCATGCTTTTGTGATATAAAACTACAGAATATATTAAACTATATAGGTTCTTCTATTGTACGCATATTATTGTTTGGTGCCTGCTTGTGCTCTTGAGATTTGAGTCCGCCGCCACAACAATGCCGACACGGCGCAGGTGACCGCGATGATTGTTTACCATGAACATACGTTGAATTTCTTTTTTGTAAGAACGTCATGAAACTGTTTGGTTCTTTAGACCTGTCACTGTCACTTGACTATCAACATGATCTAGAGTAGATAGTGTGGCCACAAACAAAAGTTACAAGACTTGCAGTCCAAGTTCTCACAACGTAGTCAACCAAACTCTGGCAAGATGCATCCAGAATTTCGGCATGTTCGTAGACAGAAAGCAGCTAGTTTTGTAGCAAAAAAACAGCAAGAACACAAGGCACAGCTAGTGTTTCAGCACCGTTTTAGTCCCAAAGCGCAAAGCAGAACACGTCCGCAGAAAATGTGCGACAATGCGAGAGATGAACCCGGATGCAAAAGATTAACTAAGTAGCAAGGGTGCTACTAGGTGGAGGCCATCGCAAGGATTGGCAAACATAGATTTTCTTTTTTACTCAGCTCATTTCGCCTTTTGCAGCTCTTTGGTGCTCTAGTCACTAGTCATCACGGCCACAATGAGGTGGCTTCGAAGTGGTTTCTGGGACGTGGACACGAAAGTTCTGGATCACTGGAACAACTTGTACGTTCCAAACCCTTCATTGGGCGGGTGGGTTTCGCAGGCTTCAATTTCGCAGCCCTCTTGATGAAAGAGGACAGTTACGTAGCGAAGTTCAGGCACCGCCTTTTCAATCGTTTCACTCTGGTGCCGGTAAGGAGGTTGTCTTGACACACTTCGGCTCTGCTACATTTTTGTCACCCACAGGCAATTCTGTAGACATGCTTAAAATCTTGAGCAGGCCCTTCAGAAAGAGCGTGACGAGCTTGCTGCTCAGGCCTCACAAAGATGATGCATTTAATCTTGATATTCATTTATTCATTCTTGATATACTTATATACTGCATGTTCATTCTTTCAGTCAGGTGGAAAGGCAGAAGGAGGAACTTCAAGAGGTTCCCGACGTCGGGTGTGAACATTTTATTGTTTTCTTGGAGGATGTGGTTTCAGAGGTCCATGCTTGGATGTCTTACAGATATTCCATCACATTCACATTCAGCTTAACTTACTTATTTTATCTTATCTGCATTCCATCAAATTGCTCTCAATGTTCTCTATTTGCTGAACTCAGCGCATTACACACTCAGAATTATGTAGGCCCGAGAACAACGCCTGGAGCAGCAGAAGGACAAGCTGCTGATTCTCTATGCTTTTGACTTCAGAATCAGAATGTATATATATATATAGATCAAAGCCTTGATGTCCCAGTTTATCTCCTCTCTTCTTTGGTTTCTCTCTTCCACAAGGAGCTTGAGTCAAGAGTTGAGGCTTTGTACGACGAGACGAAGGCCTCATGGGGCTGTCAAGGCAATTTTTTGTTAAAGCTGATTTGTGTGGTTCTTTGCCAGAGGCTCGTAGAGCAGAATCAGGAGCAGCAAGGGATGAGGCCAGCTGAATGTTCCCCCCAAAGGCAATCTATTTTATTTGATATTTTTCCCAAAAGCATCTCCGATGCTTGGGTTCTCGTTTAGTCGCTAGTGCCGCGGAAGAGCGAGACAAAGCATGCGTAAGCATGCGTTGTCGGGGACGGAAGATGGAGGTGGACGGGGTTGGGAAGGGAAGAGGGAGGGGAAGGAAGGGTGGGTGGGGACGGGGCTGGGGAGGGAAGATGGGGAGCAAGACGGGAGGTGCATGGGTGGGGAAGGGGGTGGGCATGGGTGGGGACGGGGAGGGAAGATGGAGCGAGACGGGAGGTGCATGGGTGGGGCTGGGGAGGGAAGATGGACGGGAGCGAGACGGGAGGTGCCTGGGTGGGGACGGGGCTGGACGGGAGGGACGGGGCTGGGGAAGGAGGGGCGCGAGACGGGAGGTGCATGGGTGTGGACGGGGCGCGGCTGACACGCTAGTCACGCTAGTTACGAGGACATGGTGGCACCACAAGCATCATTGCAGGCTGCTCCGGGTCAGTTTACAAGTAGAACGAAGCATGGGCGGGGGTAGTTCTGCTCCATGCTTCGCGGAAGCACGTTCTGACGCGAGGGGAGCTGTGTTGCAGGGCCTATATGATGGTCTTGGGTGTCCAAAAGGTGCACAATGCACGCGCCAGACAGTCAAGTCATGGCCGAAGCGGCAGGAACGAAGCACGGAGGGGGCTGATGCTGCTCCATGCTTCCTGGAACGGTTGTCAGAAGCCATGTTGCACTGGGGTTGGAGACTAGCTGCAGAGATTGAAAACAGCCACTTGAGAGAGAGAGAGATATATATGTATATATAATACATCCAACTTCCAACCCGACTGAAAAGGGAACCGTCTTGTTTTCTTCTTGCTGCAACGATATTTCTATCTAGGGTCTATGCTGGTGCAAATTCTTAAGATCGAAGCCCGCAAAGGTTTGTTCGAGAAAAACAAACGACAAGTTCTCTCCTCCTGGGATATCTCCGCCATATCACTGATCATGCCAACGATGCACGCCGCCGGAAATCTATGCCAAAAAATTGACCACTAGACGATGAATGACCCGAAAGCATTTTACCGCGTGTGATGCGCTGTAGCGCTGGCACAGGAGTACACATGCGTGTGCTTTTCCCAAAGGAATCTCCGATGCTTGGGTTCTCGTTTAGTTTAGTCGTTAGTGGGGGGGAGAGCGAGACGAGGCAAGCATTTTTGTGGACGGAAGATGGGTGTGGACAGTGGAGATGGGAGGGTGGACGGGTGTGGATGGGGCTGTGGAAAGAAGATGGATGCTAAGTAGAACGAAGCATGGGGGGGCTAATGCTATATCCATGCCTTGCGGAAGAACGTTATTGCGCGAGTGGAACTGTCTGGCGTGGCCTATATGACGGTCTTGGGTGTCCAGAATGTGTGCAATGTATGCCGAAGACAGCCCAAGTCATTGCAAAAACGGCAGGATGGTTGCATGCCAGAACCGCAATGCTTCAAATTCCATGGTTGGAACGAAGCATGGAGGGAGCTGATGCTGCTCCACGCTTCCTGGAAGGGTTGTTAGAAGCCATGTTGCAATCAGTTTATGACCGTTTTGGAGGGCTTTCAAAACTGACCAAGGGGTGGACGGCGGTGTATATGGCAGACGGGGGTGGACGGATGCACACCAGAACCGCGATGCTTGAAATATCATGGTTGCCACGAAGCCTGGAGGGGGCTGATGCTTCGTTTTGGCCTGCTAATGTGCATGTGTTTATTTCTCCTGGGCTGCGCGCTTCTTTTTGCTTTTGGGTCCGCGGGCTCCACCTTGTTAGTATATACTTAAATAGTTGGACTTGCAAACATGACAGCATACAGATATCAATGAGCTTGAGAGGAGTCAACCCTTATCAAGCAACCTGTGGAGAGGTTCAGCGCCTCAACAATGCCCTGGATGTGGCCAATAGATCCTGTAAACATGCCGAGGCGATCTTGCATGTCTCAGGGTTTGAACAGATTGAATTGATGTCCGCTTTAGTTGTTGCTATTTCTTTTTTGGGATTGATTGAGGGCCTTTTCCGGCCTTTTTTCAAGCCCCATGGTCCATGACTGTTTTTCAGGTTAGTGTTCACGTATAGTAGTGAAGCACCATGAGTGCAGGCACGGGCAAGCAGTGCTGCAAAGAGTGTCGAAGAGGCTCTTTGTACTCGAAGATAAACGATAAACATGCGCTTGAAGGCTTGCATGTTTCAATGGGAAACGCTTCGGGAAGGTCAACAAACATGTTTTGTTTCTTACTCCTGCAGACCTCAGTAAGATGCCGCTCTGCAGAGGAAGCAGCTTCAACCTCGATATTATATCTTGCAGGGGTATAGCAACTATGGTGCGATATCGTTTCTTTTTTCCAAGGTCCAGCAATTGAAAGCAAGGCTTCAGGATGGGTTCTAAATTGATAGAACGGAAGAATCGCCTCACTGGGATGAAGATTGTATAATGAAACATTTTTTCATGAACATTCTTTTCGATAAAAGCTTGGACTTGAGATGTCTTTGCATGTCTTTCATTTGAAGGAGCTTCAAGCCTCGGAAGAAATGGCCAGAAGAAGGGCTGAAGGTTGCGAAGCTCTTGAGCTGGAAGTAACAAGATTGAAAGAACTAGTTTGCAGAGTTGAGATGAGCTCCGAGCGTTGTTCTGCAGCTCTTGCTGACAAAGCGGAAGCAGAAGAACGAGCTCAATGTGCTACTAGACGTGCTGAGATGTCTGAACAACGAGCCAGTGCTGCAGCCAATTCAGCCAAATCATTGGAGGAACAACTAGTTGTAGTTACCACAGACCTGGCAAGCTGCAGAAGTGCACTTGAAGTGGCTAAATCAGCAGAATGTAGATCACGCGGCTTAACCGATGCAGCCCAAGCGAAGCTAGTTGAGATCAAGGCAGAACTTGATGCATGCGTCTTGGACAACGCATCCCTGCGACATCAAGTTAAAGCGGGGGAGGTGGCCTTGCACAACTTTTCACTTGAGAAG